ATAATGTGATGAACATTATAAAAACATTTCATTTATAATTACTAAAAACACTGAAACCAGCCAAATGCCAATCCTTTATACTTAATTTATTTATTGATTAATCAATTAAATATTATAATAACCAAACCACATTTAAAATGAGAATAATTTATGATTAAGATAGGGGAAATCCTTTATGTTGACGATGTGTCATAAATATCATAATACATACATATGTATATTAATTTACATAAATTTTATTATAAAAATAAATTGCATTATAAATATGGGCCCTAATATTTAAAAAAAAAAAATTATAGAAAAAAATGTTTACAAATATAAATTGGATGTGGGTTCGATCCTGATTACTGCCTGTTAATTTTTTAAACGGTTTAGCGCCCGGATTGCTTTAGGTCGGTCCGGCTTTAAAATTATGTTATACACCTATCCGGCCCGACATGTTTTTCATATATATAAGCACAAAAAAGTAACTGTCGTGTCTGTAATAATAATTTGTTCAAATTCTCCGGCCCCGTTCGAAAATAACTTTTTCCGGTTTTGAATATCGATCTACTTGTAAATATTGTTTATTTTAGAAAGATTATAGCCTCGTGTAAACTCGAAGCGAGTTCTCCGTTATTCGATTTTATGAATACAAATATCGCAATTATTTGATTTGATGTTACGAATAATGGGAAAAAATATTTATTTACCTAATAATCGAATTATTATTCTGTCAATCTTAGACAAAACTATTCATAAATTTGTTGAAATTATTTTGTATATATTTGACCCGTTCCTTGTGGAACTATTTTATTATTTTTATATTATTTGATTTTAATTTTAATAATCGATATTTTTTATCACTCTCGAAAATATTTTCAAGGAATTTAATTTTCGAAGTATAGAATATTCGACCACTAGATAGAGTGTTATTATTATTTTATTCATATGTTCAGCCAGGAAGAGGGCGGGGAATCCCCTCTCTTCGAAAATTTGTCCATTCTCGTAAATATCCTTTTAAGCTAATAATAATTTTTTATATTACACACCCCCATAATACTCTCTACAAAAAATGTATCATATTATTATAAACATGAATTTGAAAGATAAATATAAGTAAAAGTTAATAATTTTTGAAAATAACAACTATAATTGACATAGCGTATCCATGATTTTGTTGGTCAGAAGGGGGGGGGGCACTATTAGATAACCCCCCCCCCTAAATTCTATTAGAGATCTTTAGGCCTTTGGTATTAGATTTTTAAAAATAATTTTGGGTTTTCACCTTTTTAAAAAATTTTTTGATTATAGTCCTTATTTTAAAAAGATATTAACTTTTACCAATTTTTTATTAAAATTCTTCCTTATAATGAGGGAGGTGTGTATAGGGGGAAAATTTTTATTAGCTTAAAATGATATTTACGAGAAGAGGCAAGCTACCCCCCCCCCCTTCCTACATTGCATACGCGCCTGGTAATCGAAAATTTTTAGAAAAATGGCATTTTTATAGTATATGAAATTAGTTAAAACCAAAATTATTTTTATAAAAATATAACATATTCAAAGGCCAATAAAAATTGGACCTAAAGACCTCTGAAACTTATGGAGATAAACAAACCCCCACCTCTTAGCAAAATCTCGGCTAAACCTATTGATTCGATCTTTCCACTGATAACTTAGTAAAAACCAAAATTTAGGAGTGCTGCTCGTAAAATAAAGCGCTCAAAATCGGCAAGTTTAAACGTCTAAATAATACGTAATTTATTATGTAACATATACATTTACGATAATATTAAAATGTTATCGTAATTAAAGGGAAAGTTGAATTGCCTTATTTATTTTTTTTATAAAAAACATATAAAAGCTTTTTAATTTTTTAGAATTTATTATTAATAATTAAAATTTTGTATTAATTGTATAATCATTAAAAAAAAATCGGTCTTAAGATAAAAAGAAGAATTAAATATTGTAATAAATATATATTATGTATATACACATATAGGAAAACATTGTAAAAGTTTTAAATTTTTATTTTGTTAAGATATCATAACGTGTATACCAGGGTAAGCTAATACACACAAATTTTTTTACCCGTAGTCAATATCGGTTTAGGTTTGGATTTTTTTAAAAAAAGTACGGAGACCGGGGTAAAACTATTGGTATTATACATTTTTGCCATAGAATTTCGAAACAAGACAGAACAAATTGTAGATTTATATGTATGCAAATCCCTCATCTACAAAATAAATAAAGGCTCTCTACCCATAATATACCCAGTCAATCACCTTACCCCGGTGTCCCCTATAACGTGGGTATTATTGAGTCTCAGTAATTTTTTGTGGTATCTGTAATAAAGGCACGAAAACCGACAATATCGGGGTATCGATATCGCCTTATTAATTCGTTCCTGATATATAATATAATATATAATGAACCCTAGCTCCGTATCTAACCCCATTAAAATTTAAGCAAACAATTTATATTTATTCTTGAATTGAACATAAATTGATAAAAAATTATACCCTCATCAGGTGTTTATAGACTTTAACCTAACGGTTGCATTCGTGCTAATATATTTTTTTTCAGTATTGCGCCACGATAATAAATTTGCGATAATTTTTAAGGTATAATGTATCAATTGAAAAGTTTCGCGATAATGATTTAATAGTAATTTATATTAATTTAATTTTTAAATTAATTTACAATATAGACAAACATTTTTCCAATCCGATGTAAGAGTCTAAAAACTTCTGCAATTCGCAGAAAAAACCCCTACACCCGGGTTTGGATTGTTTCCAGAATACGCCAAATATTTAACAAATAAAGATTTTAACATGTAATTTGTTTCCTGTATTTTTTAGACGCCAAAGATCTAAGCACTACCCTGATTGTCTCCGTTCCTACTTTTAGAAACTGTGAGCGAATGAATGAATAAATTAATTTACTATGCTCACTCAACACCTGATCACGGAAATTTATAAATTCGTCTATAATATGTTAATATATATATAAGACTTGACTCAAGTTTTAATCTTTTAAAGTGAATACAGTTAAAAGTATAAGAATTATAATAAATCAGCAATTTAAATGAATAAATTCTTCTTTGCATAATCAAATGTGGAAACAGATTTGAGTAGAAAGAGGTGTATACCAAAAAAAACAATTTTCTTAAGTATTTATTTTATCGAGCTGGTAAATCTAACACTCATCTCATGGCCAAATGAGTATAAAAATTTCTCCATATTTTTATATACAATTTTATCCATAATTTTTTTTATTCCTTATTAATTCTTTCAAATTTTCTTCTCCAGGTCTTTTTTTAATGTTGTAAGTGTTCAATATGAGCCAATTTTTATAAACGGCTAACTCAATATTTTGGCCAGAAAAATATTTCATTAAGCATCAAAATTTCGCTAATAGTTGTCTAAACTTAATGCTATCTATGAGCAAAATCTTCAGGATCGCCCTAATATTTTTCTGGATAATATATTGAGTGAACCGTTTTTAAAAATCCTCAAATTGAGCCTTTTAACAAATCTATTTTATTTTTTTAAAAAAAAATATCTTTGAATTTGTAATGTAATATCAACATTTTGACATTTTTTCTCTTCTTTTCTTTTTTTTATGATGAGGGGAATTAAAATATATTTCTCTTTTAAAGACTTCCTTCCTCTCGCGATATAATTATTGTTTGATCACACAATTTATTAATTTTATTTAAATCTAAAATATGTATATTAAAAAGATTATAATCAATCGGCACCGAACATTATTAGGATACTTTGGTATCAATCAATTTAAATTTATGATTATAAGGGTGATTAAGTTTATTAATAATCATTTAATTTCGATAATCTCATATATTTTATTAGTATAAAACAATATTATCTACATAAGGTTAGATTTATATATTAAAGTTATATTTTTCTTTTAATCTATATATTACATATTTTTAATTTATTTATAAAAATCGAGAAGCCAGGAATTTAACTTTGAGGAGGACATTTTTTTTTACAATGTTCCAAAAAATCGAAGTCATCTACAGTGAATATCCAAAATTTTGTAAATTTATAAGGACTCTTTACAAAACAAATTTGTGTAGAAAAAAATTGCCACAAAAATAGGAATTCTTTGAGAATTTAAAATGTAAATAAATGTATAAGAATATTTGATTTAATAAAAATTACCTCATTTCTACTAAAAATTTTATATGTTAAAAATATTCTTAGGAAATATTGCATATACTAATATTATTGGCAAGGTATTTATTTAGGGAAAAAAAAATATGTAATCTTCTCTGTAGCTGAGCTAATTTTTCAATAATTTTATCAGTATTTGGTGTCAAATCCCTTATGTCGAAGAGCTAACCCATTCATTTTATTTTTTGAGGCACTTCCTATATATCTTTTTATTCTTTTTAAAGAAGAAAGTGGCATTTGTGTAAGTGCTGATGGATATATAGTGGTTTTAGAATTTTAATATATAGAGAAAATAAATCTTAGATTTCTAAGGATTGTTTGGTTAAGAACCTCTCACTTATTTGATTAAAAAAAGTTATTTAAGATGGGTTGCGCTGTTAAACTTTTGTTTTAGCCGATTTTTAGAAATCTGATAAATTAATATTTTTGCCCAAATAATATTTCCCTACGACCCCTAATATAGAAAGTTTTGATTAGCTAAATCCTAAGGCTAGTTAAATCGGCTTGATCTAGGTTTTAATACTTTATAATTTTTTTTCAATAATTAAATTAATTTTTTTTTGATCTAGTATATTTTGCCAAAATTAATATTTTTATTAGTGACATGGAAGAAAATAGTACTGAAAGGATTGATTTAAATATGTATTTTGCGTGAAATGTGGACTAGAACCCTATAATACCCAGCCGACGAATTGTTGTTTTAATTTTTAATTTAATAATTAAATTATTTTTTTACATACCTAATACCAAAAGGATTTGATTTATGTGTTAAAACTTACCAAAATCGATATGTTTTATAATAGTTTATATTTAAAAATAATGTATTGTAAGGATAGGAATTGGGAACACACCGGTATCAGGCTAGAGGCCAAACTTGACCAAAAATCTGGCTTAACATTTTTGAATCTTAGTTATCTCTCAAACACCGATATGGTTGAATAAAAATAATGGTGAATTTTAACATTATTACTATATGTATAAGGTTAAAACTCATTGGTATGGATTTTTAATATTTTTATTTATATAATATAAATAATTTGCCAAACTACTTTAAAATTATTGGCTCATATTTATCTTTTTATGGGATCAGACAAGTCCTGGGATCATGAAGTGGATGCCAAATTTTGTAATGATTTGTTATTAGATGCATAATCTCCTCCCCTCTCTCCCCATTTGAAATAAAATAAATACTAATATGGATGCATTAAATTTGTTTCAGCAAAAAAAAATTGACCACCTTTTTTTCCCCAAACTTAATCTTGAACCTAATAAATGGTTGCCATAGTTGAGGTGTTCCTATGGGCTAAGAACACATGATTTTTTATGAATTTATTATATACCATTACCCTTCAAGCAGAAATTACAACACGCGACAATTGGAACCTTTAGTCTAGGGGGCTCTCTGAATAATGCAGCAGCCTGGTCCGAAAAGATCGAACACCCAACTAACCGGGACCGCCCTGATTTAAAAATTTGTTTTCGATCTGGTCTTTGCAATCGGGTTTTTGTCAGGTTTTTTCGGTTGGGACCTTTCAAAAATTTTAAATGTCACATATTTTGATTAGATTTCTAATATTATATATATATTATCAATAAATTAAAAACGAAATTAAAATATCTCTAACACTTTCTTAATAACTATACCACTTATTATTATCTTGATTCTTGACCCCTATGTTTGTTTGGCTATTTAAAATATCTAATATATTGTTTTGAACAAAACGTAACCTCCAAACACATAAATTGGCCATTTAATGGTGGTAAAACTGGGGAATAAAATTGTAATTGCATTTAAAAATTTTTATATAAGGAGTTTGTATATGGCGGATAAATCACGCCTTTTCTCTTTCACCAAATATTTCTTTCCTTATTCTATTTAAATATCCACACTTGTGGCTTATACAAATGGTCCATTTTCCTTTATACAACTTATTTAATTATATTCTTCTCCACAATTCCACAAAATTAAAGGAAATTTCACTGTAATATTAAACAACAGGAGTTGAAGATATAATTTTAAAGTTTGCCAATTATCGAATCACACATTCTCCTTTATTTTTAAAAGAATGTTGTTATGTTTATATCCGATTTTTTTTTGTATCTAGATTTTTTCTGGCAATGATTTAAATCAGACATTATTTCTTTGCTAATTTTTATTTATTATGTTCTTCACATACTGTGGACTATTCACATTAACCAGATATCTATCTTTTATAAGGATGTTCTCTTTATTGGGTATACTTTGTGTTTAATATTCAAATTGGCATATTTTGAAAAAAATTTCCAATTTTATTTCATTGGAAATATGCCCCTTTAAAATTAGTAGATTTATCATGTTTGTGATAATGTATTATGTTCCTCCTCTCGAATAAATTTCTTTATCATTATACCTGATAATTTTTTACAAACTTGTCATCATATAGACAAGGTTTCTTCACATCTAAATATTGTATATAAAATGCTTGATATTTTGAGGATTTTAGAAATATTTTTTTTACCATTGATTTTAACCGAACCGTTAAACAAGTATTAACCTTTATTATCTACCAAACCTAAACGAACCTGAACTGTTAAGAATTTGTCTCTCATACCTGAACCGAACCCCTAAAAATGCCTGTGAACCGGTATGAACCTTCTGATTGTTTAACTCTTTCAAAGATGATCAATAATGACTGAATAAGCATCAGTAATTATTTTTAAATTATATTGCTATTTGATGGTGCTAGCTAGAGTTGTTAAACGGTTCGGGTTGAGCTGATTTTGAAAAACGAAGAACTCAATATTTTACACAGGAAAATATTGTCTGAGTCTCGAGATTTTACCTTTGTGCCATCCATGAGCAAAATCCTCAGGCTTGTGTAATATTTTCTGGATAAAATATTGAGTTAGCCGTATTTAAAAATCGAGCCGTTTAACAACACTAGTGATAGATATCGAAGTAACCCTACATAAATTAACGCGAATTCACGGCGAAGTATACAAAAATTATTTTATTTATATAATATTTTGTATACTTCGCCTTGAACTAATTGTGAATGCAGGGTAAGCATACAGAAGTGTTCTCCAGCCATAAAATGTATCTTCCTCCTTATAAATATAATTTGACAGAATAGCTTGAAAATATTTTAATTGTATACTGGCACAATATTATTTTTTTGAGAATAATAAAATGTTTCATTTCTTTACAATGTATACATGAAAAAATTTGAACCGGATTTTATAGATTTAAACCCAACTGATATTATTATTTTTTATGAACCGAACCGGTATTTTTATCTGAATCTGAACCGAAATTCGTTACTGTTTAGATCCTTGCTATTAACTATAAAAAAAAATGGCATTAAATAAATTTTATTACCCAAATTTAAAAATTCTAGCAATAAGAATATCGACACCGACATAATGAAATGTAGTACGCAGTATATAGTTAAAAAAGTAATTGTATACCATCATCTGGAACCGACAAAGGCCGGGGAGACGCCATTTTGAAGAAGAATAGACCTCTCTTAACAGTAAGGGAAGGGTTGCGATATTTATATTTAACTCAGGTGGGAAGGGGAAAACCCTCTTAGTCAACATTAGAGTCGCCATGGCATCATAAATGGAATATATACCTGGCCAGCTTGGCTGTCTAGCTGTTTGCTCTACTTAAATATCCATTTTTCAATTTAACCTTTATTTATAAGTCATCAGAGGGACCTCAGTGTCTGTATCGGTTTCCCGAAAAAATAGTCCACGTGATAGAAAATAACTTCTCTAAGTATTCTTAAAATGAATGACAGAAGAATTTTAGATAAAAAAAGCGAATTTTAATCCCAAATTTTGATCAAATTCTTAAGTTCTTTGTGAAAATTTCAAAATTGAGTTCAGTTTTATTTAAAATAATGATTATATTTAGATTCACACTTTTAATAAAATTATATTTTTAATTTTAACAGAAAAAAGAAGAAGTATTTTCTTTAATTATGAATAATAATGATTTGATATGTATGGGGGGGGGGGGGTGTGAATGATTGAAAATAACCAAATGTTAAAAGTAATATCTTCTACTACATAATTATATATAATACAATGCATAACCGATATAGTTGGATTTATGTAATATACTACACACATAATATAATATATACCACATTTTTACAAAGGAGGGGTATTGTAAATTTAATATATTATTATAAGAATAAGTTAATTTAAAATTTATGTTTAGACAGAACTTGCTTAACCACAACTGTATATTAGAAAGAAGGAGAAAAAAAAGAATATTTGAATACTAAATTAAAAATTACCTAAGCATGCAATATCGCATACATATTATAAACATAATTTTTATACATAATTCTTCGATTCAAAATCTATAGGATCATCCTTCAGTAGTTTTTGTTTTTAAATTTAATCAAATGTTAATATTTTAATCATATTCATTTTAGCAATTTCTTTTCAATTTTATTACTATATAACTCTGCACGCAAAAAAAATAAATTATATATTATACATTCAAAATTCAAAATAGATTTATGATGATAGAAATCTGTTGCAATATATTCTCAGGTAAAAATAAAAGGATTACAATTTATATTATAATACATTCTTTTTTTGGACCAAAAAACACCAAACTAAATTACCCCAATTTAGCAAATTGTTTAAAATTATTAGAAAAGTGGTAAGATTAAATAATCAAGTAGGGTTATATCCAATCTTCAAATAAATAAATTGATGTATCATCTTGCCAAATCTATTAATTTCGTTAATCGGATAAGAGTATTCAAGAAAAAAAAATTGTCAGGCATGATTAGTTTATTTTTGATTCTGTCAGAATTTATTTTGATCTTTGTCTGGGACATTTTTGTACTGCATAAATACATTTTTACAATACAACTAAAATAAATTTAACAACTGTAAGAAGGTTTATAGGAGACTATTATATTTAATGATGATAAAATTCGGTGAAAGTTCTATAAGGTTCCCTTACTACTTCGATGGCGGTTACATTTTAATTAACATCGAGAGGTGAATGGTAATGTTATAAATTAACAGTATTGAGTAAACCGGCCAGACACATCTGGAGGACTTAATTGTAAGAATCCAGGCTTCTAAAAATGAGATTGTGATACATTTTTATTCCCGATTAGATCTTTGAAATGAGTTCGGATATTTAAGATCTGCCCTGATAATCAACATGTACATTTTTAGATGGTCAACCATTTTAGAATGGAGGCATCGGCCCCCAAAATGAGACTATTTATAGGAACCATCAAAAAATTTCTTTTTAGAGTATTGAAATTTTTTTTAAACAAAGTACAAATATGAAACTCCTGCACATCTGACCCGGGATGGGCCAAAAAATGATATCATTTTAAAAATCGCCACCGGACTTATGACTTTAACCTCTGCAGGTCTCTGATAATTAATACATAATTTATGCTAAATATTGCCTAATTCAAGTCATTTATTACAAAATTATAAATAATATTTTACCAAATTATGATTTTTTTGTTTGAAAGCCTGAAGTAAACTGTGAGGGGAGAGGAGGTGTATTTTTTTAAGGGCCGCCGAATTGATTTTTAATTTTTAAAATACCGTAAATAATAAATTATTTTTTCTATGTTATTTTTCATTCACATAAAAATTCTGGGCAAAAAGACCCCGAACAAAAGTACCCTGTACAAAAATACCTCAATTTTCAAAAAATATAATTAAAAGCAAGAATTTAATTTTTTTTCTTCTAAAATTTGGCTATTTTTGTCCAGTGTCCTTTTGTCGGGGTATTTAATTGTAGCGAGTTTAAGAAAGTTGTTATATTATGGAAATGTTTAACAACAAATCAGATTATTACTGTTAGATTAAAAATTAAAGAAATGGTCGTGGCTTGGACGTTTGGCAATAGTATGTCTATTTTTTAAAAATGATAAAGATTATTACTTTAAAAAATAAAAAAATATGTTCAGGTTATTAAAATTAGAAATTAATATAATGAATGTCTTTTAATAATTCATTTTTTTTTGTCATGATGAAGTATTTCATGTCAGAAAGCTTGACTCTTGAGAGTATAATTTATACATATATTATATATGCATTCGATTTCGTTTTCTATCTAAATTATTTACATAATGATTTATCACTTTCAGTTTATACTTACTATACATTATACTACTACACTAGTAATACTATAAACACAGTTTATTTAATATTATTAATTATTTTTTTTTGAACATAGATATTGACAACAATATGGCAAAAAAAACATCCCTTTTTTAAAAAAAATCATTTTACATAATAGTAATATGAAAATGTGGTGAATTTTAAGGTCTTGGAAAAAAAGATTTTTAAAATTATAATTTATATAGATTAAGATATCTTAATTTTTACAAATGTCTCTAAATGTTTAAAAAAAAATAAATAAGCGACGGGATGGATTATTTATCCCAATGTGGGCCTTTTAGTTTTCGACTTCATTGATAGTTTTGATTGAAGATAAAAAAAATATATTCAAAATTTGATAGTAAAAGAAAAAATAAACTGAAAGGGTTCTGATAATCTTGCCGGAAGGATTTTGATAGAATAAAAATAGGGATTAGACTTGCGCGACAAAATTTTTAAACTAATTTTTTTTTAATATTTAATTTATCAAAAATTGGTGATATTACTATCTACACCAATACTTTATATATAGAAAATAATGTTATAATTTTTATCAAAATTTAATTTTATTTGAAACCAAAAAAAAAGGAAGTTTAAATCCTTATCAAATGTCAATGTCCTAAATCAGGCTTTCGCCACACATTATAGCAGGAATAGATTTTATTAAATTTATTTTTAAAATATAAATTAATCCATAACCCATATCGCTCAAACCTTTTAATTTTGACCGTAACTTATTATCTTTCAAAATGTTTTTATTTAAACCCTGTCATAAAAATAACTCTCATTATTATATATTAATCGGCTCGATTTGAGCAGATTTCTATAAAATGGCTAACTCAATATTTAATCCGGAAAAATATTGTGCAAGCCTAAAGGGTTTGTTCATAGATGGCAGAAAGGGTTTAGACATCTATTTGCAAAATCATGATGCTTAGGGAATCTTTTTCCGAATTAAATAGGGAGTTAGCCGTTTTTAAAAATAGACTCAAATCGAGCCGTTTAACAACACTACCATCCAGGCTATCATAAATCAAATTTGGCATAAGCCTCTAACAAGCCTGGATTTCTTTTTAGTTGTTCCTTTCTTTCTTAAGATAATTCAATTTCTATGATGTTAAACAGGCCAGTGATTAAATTGAGGTTACGGACTTTGGAAATAAAAAAGAGGGGGGGGGGGCGTAATCTACGTTTTGAGGGACTTTCCCATATTAATTTTATTAGGCCTTAGTCCGGTTCTTTAAAAAAATAAATAAGGACCCAGTCCGATCAGGGGGTTTTGAGCCGAATTTCAGGGCTTTTCTTTAGTCAACATTTAAAAAAAAATTGACCATTCATTTTTCGAGAATGTAGGGAGGGGCAGAGGGATAACATTTAATGATACTTACCAAAACTTAATAATTCCGATAAGGATAATATTAAGCCCCCCTTTCCTTAGTTATGCCTTTTAATTTTCATACCCCATCTAGCGGGAATATAATTATATTATATAGTTTTTTTTTAAAAATTATACATAATTTTTTCCTTATCATAAATAATAGATCGATCAAAAAATATAAAATATATAATCGATTAATTTTAAGAAAGGAAAAAAAAACTTGCGTTTTAAACTTTTTAATAATTTTTTTACAGGGACACACACACCTGTTCTCGCTTAATAAAAAATTTTCTAAGGTAAACTTATACTTTTACATACACCTGATAATTTATTGAATGCGACTTTTTTAATAGTTTAAAGTTTTACATTAATAAATTTTATTGTTTAATAAAAAAAATTTAAAGACTAAAAATTGTTGGGTTTTTTTTTATAAAGTTATTCAAATTTTGTAATCATTTTTTTTTACATATGTCTGCTCCTTCTTATCCAAAAAAGAACAAGTGCAGTTTAGGTAAATAAGCGACAAATAGCAAAAGTCTACATCTTTTATTATTTGTATAATATTGGTCGAAGTCGAAGAGAATTTTTTTGATATTTACATATAAAATTATGTTTTTTAAAAAAAATTATGCACATTAATTATTTCAAATTATGGGGTCTGCCTGTGACACACGCCATCTGCCACACTAACAAAATATGATATAACAATTATTATAATTCGTTATCAATAAAAACTTTATTTTAATTTTTGTCAATATGTATTTTAAATGAATAAGTAGTTTTTTTTAAAATTATTTCTTCTTCTTTCCTTTTTTTGTCAACGTTCTGCAAATAAAATATGTAAAAAAAACAATGTAATTATAGAAAAAAAAGAATAAAAAAAATTAACTATATATATAGATATAAAAATCTTAAATTTATTTTTAAATCTAATTAATTATAAAAAATTCAATTTATTATGAAAACTTAAATTTTTTGAAAATAAAAACACAATTAACTAACATACAAATTAATATGATATTGCTTCTGAAGAATAACTGTTCAAATCCACTGTGCTCAAATACTTACCAAACCATTAATCATGTTCAATCATTGAATTATGAACAATTAGGAATTTTGAAAAATAATTTATCTAACGAGGATAGATTCAGAAATAATGAAAATGTATATTCCCGCCAGCAAAACAATATCACGAAAAGACCTTTGAATCGTTCAAATTCTACTCTCTCAAATGTTAATACCAAAGGTAAATTCAGTTTTTTAGTAATCTATAATTTTATATCTATCATTATAGTATGCTCAATAATCTAGATAAAAAACGTAATTCATATTTATGATAACTAAATATTATTTTTTGCGTAAAGTAACTAGTTGTTAAACGGTTCGATTTTTAAAAACGGGACTCAATATTTTTAACAGAAAAATATTGCTTAAGTTTCAAGATTTCGCTAATAGATGTGCATTGTGCCATCTATAGGATTTTTGATCAAATTTTACTTTAAAATTCCTAATTTTTTTGAAAGTAAATCTTTTATGATTTTTATATCTTTAAAGAAATTTGATCTCTGAAGATTTTTTTTGGAAGTTGTATAGGATTTTTGATCAAATTTTACCTCAAAATTCTTAATTTATTTTTGTAAGGAAATCTTTTATTATTTTTATGTATAAAAAATGGAAATTTTTCTTTAAAAAATAATCTTGAATTTTATGATCTTCAAAAGATTTTTTGTTAAAAATTTTGACAAAATATATCTTCAAAATAGTTTTATTTTTCAAGCTTTGGTGCAGTGTTGTCAAACTGGTTGATTTGCAGTTTTTTAAAAATGGCTAACTCAATATTTTAGCTAGAAAAATATTACGTAAACTGAAGATTTTTTTTCATGGATGGCACAAAGGTTTGTTTGCATACCAAAATCTCGAGGCCATGGGCAATAATTTTCTAGCTATAATATTGTTGAGTTAGCCGTTTTTATAAATGATTTTATCTACCAAATATTTTTCTTTTTAAAAAGTCATTTTTGAAAATTCATGTAAAAACATAAAAAAAGGTTTGTTTTATATTAGTCTATTTATGAAAATGAAATGGTTTTTTTAAAAAAAATTTGTCAAATATAAATAGGTGAGAAATTTAAAATTGTGATCAAAATAAAATATACTATTGTTTTAAAATTAATAAGAAGAACCATAACAGTAATTTTGTATAATTTAAATTCTGTGTAGGTGTGTAAAGGTGAGAAAAAAAGAAACACTTATTATTGTGCATAAACTTTTTACAAGATTCATTACAAACAAACCATTTCATAAGTTATAATATTAAAAATGTAAATTATTTATTAATATTATAATATACTATTTTTACATAATAAAAAGGTTAAGTATAATGAAAAGTTAGAAAAATCATTTATTATTTTATTTTTTATAATTTATTGTTTATAAAAGTGCCTAATAATTGAATTGTCAAATTACCTTTTTAAATTTTATATATTAAAAAAACCATTTAAAAAATGTATAGTGATGTGTTTCATATCGTCAATGGAATTGAGTTGAGTTAATGGGGAGAAAAATTTTTTCTCTATTTTATTTTAATGTTCATGAATCATGAGACAGTTTGGTCGGCGGACAAAAATAAAATAAATAAATTGATATAGGTCAACATAAAATATGATTCATAACTAAAATATAAATATTTATGAAACCACGCAACGTAAATACTTATATACGATTTATATAAAATTTTTTATATAATTTTGCAATTGATTTTAATTTAAGATTTTAACCAACATAATCCTCGAGATTTTGTTAATAGATGTCCTAACTATTAATGCAAAATCACTCCATGCCGATTTTTAAAGCCTGCTAATAATATTTTAGCTAGAAAATTATTATCTAAGCCTCAAGATTTGGCTAATAGATGACCAAACCTTTGTGCCATCTATGAACAAAATCTTCAGCCTTTCATAATATTTTTCTGGATAAAATACTGAGTTAACCGTTTCTAAATAGGCTTCAATATAATGATTTTGCATTAATAGTCCAAACCTTTCTTCCATCTATAGGCAAAATCTCCAATCACATTATATTTTTTGCTAAAATATTGGGTTAATCGTTTTAAAAAATCGAGCCTATTTAGCAACATTATCTAAAATATTTTACATTTGCTATTATAAAAAATTTTTAGACTCGTTTAATTTTACTTTCTATAATTTTTTTTTGTATATAACTGTTGGATCTCAGATTTTAAAAGAGATGTAATGTGCTAGATCTGTAAAAATAGGCTGAGCCTATTTCAAAAAAAATCGGTTCCGGTTAGGGTTTAAATTTTGAAATAAAATGGATTATATTTTTAAATTTTTATCAAATACTCGATTATGTTCATTTATAAAAAATAAAAATTTAAAACTATATTGAAAAAAAAATTAATTTCTATATTTAAATATATTCGGGCCGAGTGGGTTGAACAAATAATTTTTATTTCGAGTCTCAATTTTCTGGACAAATGAAAAAATTGGAAAAATGAGGCCCGATGCAGATCACTAATGTATACATATTAATCTCGGAATAGTAAATAACAGACACTTTATATGTATATTAGAAATAACATTGTAATTATATAAGAATATAACTATAAGAATAATAGATATTTATATATGTTGACGACTTTAAATCATTTTTTGAGCGCGTTTTTTAAATTTAAAAATCTGATTTAACCGGAAATATATTTCAGCATATTATAAAATACATATCTTATGAATTGTACACCATTTTGCCCTTAATCTTTGAGTCACTTATAATTTATATTTTAAAATATATAAAAACTAATGTAAATTATATTAAGTTAAAAATGTTTATGGCAAAATTGTCTGAAATTCATAGGGTAGGTATTCCAAGTATGAGAAATTTTTGAAAGAACACATTGGTCGCTAACATATATAAAAAAAATTTTTTTTTTTAAAATATGAGGTGACTAAATGTGAAACATATTTTTTTAAGAGGTGTGGGGTTAACTAAAAAGAAGAAGTCTTGTCCCCAAAGATTCCCAAGGTGTTGGTAATTATGGGCATTAAAATTGCGTTTTCACGGTCGGTGTTTTTTAAAAGGTTTGGCATGAGCTATGCCAAAATTGAATTATTTGATTTAGCTGAGAAATTAATTCGAGTGTGGTCCCGCACTAAAAGAAGACCGTTAGGCCAGTGTTTACCATCTGGTCTTTTTAAATTATCATTGAGTAAACCTATAAAGCTTGTAATTTAACCTTATTCCTGATTGCTGATGTATATTGTCGATTATTACCAGTCAACGTAATTAAATTGTGTCACTGTGTTACAGCCTAGGCGGAGTGCGATAAACATTATAAGTTGTTCTGATGGGAGAATCAATCCCAGGTTGCGGGTAAAAAGTGGAGAATCCCAGTCTTTTATTGTGTAATGGGAGGTTGGTATAATATAAGATGATGGACAGTTTTTTTTCTCAGGTATTGAGGGCTAAGGTTGGGTCATCGTATGGGGTGAGTGGTTGGAGATTAAGGAATTTATTATAGTAATATAATATTTATTATATATGAATGATAATAACCCTTTTACTATAAACATATAATATAAGAAATGAGAACCTTAAGAAAATATTTTAAAAATAATACATGAGGAAGGAATTACCTCAGAGGCTAATAATAAAAATAAAGTTTATGAAAAAAAAAATAATATAAAAACTGTCAAAATTAATATGAATTTATAAATATTACAATATTTTTTTTAAGTTATAAATGTGTCAAAAAAACATAAATTATTTTAAAAAATATATAAATTTGAACCATTCATTTGTGCCTTTTACTGACATGACATTTTTAAAATTTTAATAGAATTATACATTTTGACAATTGGGAGGCATACACATAAATTTGGATTTTGGACAGATATTCTTTCATAAATCATATTCATATCAGATTTAATATCTATATCGTCATTTGTTTTGCAGGACCAAAAAACTTTGTTTCAAAAATATCACTGATAAAAAGGTACATTATAAAAGTTAAATTAAAATTATTACGAGACAATTTAATAGGTATTATTACTATGTTATTTTGTCGAAATTGGGGTATTACAGTGAGAGGCATTTAGGTCCGATTATTCATTTAAATTTAATATATTCTTCAAAGAATATAATTAACAAATAACTGCAATTATAGGGGGATGGAATATGGAGGTAATGTTTATAAAGAATTTTCCTCTCCGTTTTACCTTTTTATAATAGTTTTAAATTTTTTAAAAGCCCGCGTCCAATTTCAAAAAAAGCAGATTTAATTTTTGTAAGCGATTATGTATTTTAATATATAATTCTTAATGAAAAAATAACTTGGACATTTAAATCTTAATAAATTATAGCTTAAGAAAAGTAATCAGCTTTGGTCAAGAGGACAACTGTATGTTTGAATAACATGTATAATTACTTAGTCTGAAGATTCATTCATTCATTAAAGTACATTTTGATGTGTAGCTGAATACCATTTTGCCCCTACAATTTTTTTAATTTATAAATGAAACTGATATAAAAAGATATAAAATTTTAATGTAAATAGCCTATAGTGGGTAAATAAAAACCAAAATGGTGTGCCACCAGATTAATACACATTTCGTCAGTCTAGCTATTATTATGTAATTGATGTTTGCTACAATAAAAATCTCTAAAGATAAACACCTTCATATCTTGACCACTATAATTTCTAATTTTAAACGAAAATATTATTCCTTTTTGTCAAAATGATAATGTAACCGCTGAGTAGTCATCTTGTCGAGGTTCCATTCAAATATTTTAATAGATAACAATTATAGTGGACAATAATATTCATCTCTTGAATATTCGTATTTGCCTGTTCTTGTAAATAACATCTTAATCTATTGAAAGTTTCCACCATACACCCCCACCCCTCCTTATTTCCCAAAAAATGAATATTATATATCATCACTATAAGGACTGTAAGAAAAATTAGTCAAAGTTAATAACTTTTCAAAATACTTATAATTCAAAATTTTTAGAAATTTAGATTATAAAAATGAGTTAAAATGATTTTTATAAATATCTAATATAGCCAAAGGCCTATAATAAGTGGACCTAAAGATCTCCAATAAAATTTATTGGGGAAACCCCATCTAATAGTGCCCCCCCCCTCCCGCTGCAAAGTCCTGGATAACTTATGATTTATTTAACATTTTTAGGTTCCTTTTTTGAAGCGGAATGGGCGAAAAGAGGCAATAATGTTCCCCCCTTAAACGTTTATTTATTTATTTTTTTAGATAATGGGGTACATTTGCCCCGGTTCTTTTGTACAGGATCAGTGAATCCCTGCATTTTGAAGACCTTTGGGTATACATAAAACAAAATTATTCGAATAGAATACGAATAACATTATTCGATAGAATTATAAATTATTCGCATAATATGATTTTTTCATATTATTCTAAATTTATCGTATATATTCGACATTATTCGTAAATATTAAAAATTATTCACAAATATTTAAAATTATTTGTAAGTATTTAACATGTTCCTTAAGAAATACTTTATTTTTTTTAAACTTTATCTCTATATCTATAAATCACTTTTTAAATTTTAAGAATCTAATTTTTCCAGAGTTTATAATATAAATCTTTTGAACAAAAGTCTTTGAAGATTTTTTCAAAGAAGAAAGATTTTTGATCATATTTTATCTAAAATTCCAAATATGTTTATTTATAAGTAAACCTTTATAATTTTCATGAACAATAGATCTCAAGATGAAAATATAAATTTAAAAAAATAAATAAAATTCAAAGATTAATTCTTAAAATATTTTAAAAATTTTAACTTTCGAATCGAATATTCGACCAATCAAATCGAATAATGCTTTTATTATAGGAATACGACAAATGCAAATATTAAAGATATTTTTAGAGAAAAAACAAAATCTTATTTTCATTTTCTCAAAAATTTATTAGTCATTATTTAAAAAAATTAATAGCTTTGATTATTTTTTTTATATATGGTTTAAATTGCATATATTGTATTCATTTTTAGAAAAATGATATTTATAAAAATAGACAAATTTCACTCTCCTTTTGGTCATGCTAATGAATCAACTTGTCGATGTGCTTTTAAGTTTTTCTTTCTTTTAAATTAAATTTTTCCTGATTCTAGAGTTAAATCTAGTAATAGGAGTAGCTAAAATATTATATAAAATGCGAATAAATTAATTTTAATAATTTATTTATACCAGAGACTAGTGTTGTTAATCGACTAAATTTAGTCGGCTCAGACGACTACTAGTCACTAAAGTTTTTACTCATAATCGAGGAAGATGTCAACTAATTAACACTACCAACCTACTGAGGTAACATATGCAAGTCCCGACCCGAATTTTTTTAAAATATTTTTTACTTATTTTTAATATTTATAGATAATTATGTTAAAATATTTAGCTTCAAAACATACCGCCCGACGCGGGTATTTTTTAAATAGAATTTTTTAGGCTCGGATCGGGTATATTTAAAAAAAATCTAGAAAAACGGAGGGGGGGGGGAGGGTGCTGTAAATACGTAATTTAAACTTCTCTTTTTTATAAAAAAAAAAAATTAAAACAATGAAATTTAATAAATATAATTAATTTGTAAAACATTTTATTTCTTTTTTGTTTTGTTTGTCGTGGACAAGTCAAATTATATTTATAATATATTATGCTAAATAATTTAAATTGAAACCCACGCTATTTAATATGAGTACATTTACATTTATTATCGAATAAAAACACAATAAAAAAATTATAAAATTTTTTTTTTAAACTATAATAATATATACAATCTTTCAAATTTATTTCATAGTTGAAGGGTGACTATACAAAAGAATAGTCCACTAGAATACAACCCAAACAAACACGGTCATTTTGTAGAGGTCGATATGTTGTGGTCACCATTTGCTTATATTTTTATTTTAATTATATTTATTATTTTTTTTTTACTATACTCTACACTAGACTAATTGTACAAAATACAAATTAAAAATTATAAAATAAACAAAGAAATAAAATTATTATTATTTTTTTACATGTTTTTTATTTAATTTAATATATTATTGTATTAATATTTTTTAATATATAAAAATTAAATTAAAAAGAAAGAATAAGAAACACTAAAACAAATGTAATGAAATGTAAAATTATTTAATTAAAAAGGATGATTTTTTTTAAATAAAATAATTTATTTAGTCATAATTACAAATACAATATTCTCTTTAAATTTATATTATTACAAATTCGCATATAAATCCTATGTTGTGTACCCAAATTCAAGTATAATGATGAGATCACCATTCTTTAAAAATAGGTTTTTTTCTTATTTATTTGTACTATTTTATTGGGTCTAAAAATTTTTTTAGCTTACTCCATAGATATAAATTTTCTTTTTCCTTTGAAGCTTGCTTAAATTTTATGCCTGTATTATATGTAAATCATCTTAAAAGGAAATCAGAAAAATATGAAGCAATAAATTAATTTATTAAACCCTAGATTATTAGATGATTTTCCAACTGATTAAAAAAGCTTATATTTTTTTTTCTAAAATAAATTTCAAAAATTAGGGAATCGTATTTTGAATTTATCATGAAGCTAAAATTTTTAATAATATAACTCGGGCCGGGCATGATGCTTTCTGTTTCTGCATTTATTAAAGGAGCAAAAAATTAAATATCCTATTCTCGATATGACAAAAAGTAGAAATCCGCTAAGGTGTCTATTTTAAAAAAAAAAGAAGGTTGAATCGGGCTTAAATTTTGAAATAAAGTTTACAAGAAAAACAGGGCACCAATATTTTATTTATTTGTAGAATGATTAAAAATTCGATTATGTTCGTCATTGTAAAAAATGTAAAACTACATTGGAAAAAAATTTAATTAATTTCAATATTTTAAATCAATTCCCATCTGGCCTTGCGGACAAAAAATTAGGCCCAATCCGATAATATAACTTCTATAAGAGTAGAAGCTAATGTTCAAATTAGACATGTACATAAATTGTAGAATTTATTTTATGCAGAAACCACGCATAATCATATTTCACTTTACCATTAATTGGTATTTTATTTATTTATTTTGGAACATTTTTGGTTTGAAAGTTCAATTCAAAATGATATTTTTATTAAATAATATATTTTTTCTCTTTTGAAAAATTCAATATCGGTTATATAATTATAAATGGTCGAATCCTTAAAAATTATTATCAAAAGCTAATCATCAATTATTTATAGGTTATAATTATTTTATTTTTTTTATCATTATTTTTTTAAAATTAATTAATATTAATGACTTTACATTCTACTACGATTATATATAGAGGCTTATTAATGATAATATGTATACTATCTCTTTCTCTCTATTGTGTTTTATAAATGTTTATTATATCATTATAAGTTCATGCTGATTTTATCAAAAAAATAATATTTATAATTGTTTAATTTTTCTTAAAATATAATAATTAATACTAAAATAATTTCTATTTTGAAATTTAAGCTAGATTAAATTGATCCATCCTCCCCCCTCCCATATCTATTAAAATCATCGTGTGCATTTAATATAACATTTTGTCAAAATCAAAAATTTAATGGAAAACATATTCAAGTGTTTATTTTATCTATCCCAGATCCAGAATCTAAATTGGGTGAATGAATGATGAATGAAGTAAAGATTTAATCAATCATTTTTTTCCCCAATACCACTTTCAAAATAAAATTTCGCGTTTTACATTGCTTATATATAATAAATCATGTTTAATGTTTTTGTTGTTTGATTTTAAAATATAATAACAAATTAAATATTGTTTAAATTTTTTTGATAACTTTTGAATTTGAAAGATAAATTAATAATAAATTTAATTTTTGCATATTTTTCGATATCTTGTTTGTAGGATACAAAGAATCGCTTTACACCAATTGTTCGAATTATTTAAGACGCGGAGTTGACAACTATCAAAGCTTGGTCAATAATGATAATAACGAATATGAGGATAGTGGAATATATTCCAACGTAAGTGATCCCAAATATTCCAAGTACCATCATCAAGATTTCGAAAATCCTTATTACGCTGTTATAAGGAGACAACCGTTACCCGCAAATTCATATAATCCTAACAAGACCTCATGCCAGTTCCCCCTGACTCAGGATAAATGTAAATTGAATAGAATCTATTCTGTTAGGAACGAGATTACATCCAAATATTCGGTAATTTTATTATATAAAATTTATGTTATTTTATAATACAACATATCAGCAAGGTTATGATCTAATTTTTCCCGGGAATAAATGGTTTTCAATAAGATTTAATTGTATAAAAAAAGGTTCAATAATTGATTGATAGCTACTAATTGTTGTATTTTTATCTTCCTTAGAATACTTGCCCGTCGCGTCCACCAATCACTATCGAAAATACCGATAAACTTGGTAGAAATCGTAATTGCGTTAAATTCCTTCTTCCTGAGATCAAGAGTAGAGCCATGAAATTTGGCCTGATGTCCTCTTTGTTGGGAAACGATAAAAAAAGTTGCAATGCTAGTGCCGCTAACGCTTTAACGTCGCAATCGCCTAACACAAATAAGATTCGATACGAAAGCTGGAATCGTATCAATAAAAATGATGAAATTGATCTCAAGAGATCCATCAATCATAATAGGGTAAAAAATTTATTTATTTATATGCAATTTTTTAAAAAAAAATTTTGATTTCTTTATTATAGAGTTTTAGAAAATTCAAATTTCCTATCAAATCGCCTCAAATTAATGGTCATCATTTAATCCATCAAAATTCTTCTTCCAGTGTCTCTAGCCATAACTCGCTGATCCAAGATCAATCTTGTCGCGATAAATTTGACCAATCATCTCCCAACCAAAAATTGAATCAAAGTTTTATGTCCGAGGTCAACATACCATCGTCACCTTTGAGGGGCGTCGATAAAACTAACTCTTCACTTAACATGACGCTTCCCATTAAGGATCACATGAAAGAAGCCGCCCTGCATAAAAATTATTCTTACCTTTATTCCAAACTTTCCTCCCACCCTTTGAAACACGCCAACTTAACTAATTCCGCTGCCGTTTCCTTGTGCAGAGGCAACGAAATAGAAGGTGGCAACAAACTCCTCTCCCAGATGTGCTCTTTATCGTCAGATTCTACCAATAGTTCTGCCGCTAATCACTCAAAAGCGTTTGATAATAGTTCTTCTAGAGTCGTTGTTGTTAATAATTCTAATTACGTTAACATAAACTCTGTTACCTCGCCTTATTACTCAAACAAATTGTCTCCTCCTGTTCACATTAAATTTCACGACAGTTCGCGAAGGCTTGTATATGCCAGTGGTGGTGGCCAGATACCAACCGAAAAACTTATGAATAGTGCAGATGACACATATAATAATGTCGGGGAAACACGCTCAAATACCTATTCGGTCCCCGATAAAATACGGAATGATTTTGGGAAGAAGCTCCAACAAGAACTCAAAGCCGATGACGACGAATTCGAGCTCAACCCGGAAGTACAAAAGCGTTATAGTTTGATTATGAAGCAAAGGGCTTTCGAAAATTTCGGGTTGATAAATTTAGATACTGACCTGAAATTCGATATAGACGATTATTACAAACAAACCTCTCCGCAGCAACCACCAAAAACTATAAACCGCATCATATCCACAAGCCCTAAAAATAGCTTCAATTTGAACGACACGAGTAGTGATGCTAAGAGCAGAATAACCGATATACCCATTCCAATATTCAATCAATCATTCACCTCGAAACCCATTCACATCAATAATAGTAATATAGAACAAGAAGAGTTGAAACAACTGATTGGCCCAGAATTCGTGTGCCGACAAAACAAGGTTTTATCAATCATGTCGTCCTCATCGACTTCCGGGAATTCTTCAATGGAAGACGAACAGTTGCTACAGAATAGGACTAGAGGAGCTACTAATTTTGACAGCATATACAATAGGTGCAATGCTGACTTTTATCGTTACGGACCAACCAACTACAACTATGAAATGGGCAATAAATCTAACAAAAAGTCGATTAAGATCAATATACACAATATGGGTACGTTTATTTTGATACCTAACCTAATAAACATATGACAGAAACCACTCAAAGATTATTCCTTAGCGGTTTGCATAAAATGTCCCCATCCGTGGGTTTAATAGGGTCGGAAAATTGTGATTTTTAGAAAAAATTTAATTCGCATCAGGTTGGAAAATGATTTTTTTTGGGTTGGGCTCAGGAAAAAATTTGTTTTTTCTAGGTCTCTAGTTTCCTTTGCGTTTTGTCTTTAATAAAGAACCGTGATAATGTGGTACTACGGGCTACACTTCTAGTGAAAAAAAAAATTTGTTTTGAAATTTTATTTTCCACAAAAAAAATCATAACCTATAAAACAACCAACACGTTTGACCCAACATATTTTTCTTCACCTTTTATATATTTTAAAAATTTATTTTAAACAAAGAAACATTTAAAAGATACAACAAAAATTTTGCCTAAATAGACACTTTTGTTATAGAAATATTTACCCTTTTTTTAAATTTTAAAACATGAGTAAAGTTGTTTTTTTCTTAGTTACTTATTGCTATTATATTTACAAAAAAATTTTTTTAATCCTCACTCACATTTTACATTTTAATTGTTTAAAATATTTTTTATTTTATTTTCCCACAGGATCTTTAAAAAATAAATTAAACAATAGAATTGAATAAAACCTTCAAAATGACGACCTTTTTATCTTGACCACTTAAGATCGACAATAGCTAAATCTTCTAGAATAATATTTATCAAAATTGTTAAATAGAAAAATAAGTAACAAAAATCTTTCCAAAAATTTTAATAATCATTTTTTTTAAATATTAAATTTTATGTAACCGAAAAAATATGACCATTTTTCAGTGGCAGATGTCGCTCCTAGCTTGGACTGAGGAATCAACTTCTTAGGTTAATCGTCTAATCCCTCATTAATAGTAGTGCGAATTTGCGGCGAAGTTAAAATATGAAGTATTTTTATATACTTCGCCGCAAATTCGCGCTAACTGTGAATGCAAGGTAATATTGAGGAAAGTTATTTAGTAAAAAAGGTGGTTTAATAAAATGTCTAGTTTAGTAAACGAATGGCTGTTTTTTCCATCCATTTTATTTCTGACTAATTTATACCCAAAAATTAAAATAATGACTTTATTTTAAAATTGACATAATTTATAAATAAAAAAGATACATTTAGTAAAAATAATTATATAAAAAAAAATAATTGACAATTGATCATTCGATTTTATCGCTCTTTACTGGTCACTATATATAGGTCTTCATGGTCACTAACCTAGCACTATCTAAGGTTTACTACAGTCAACCATTTATATATTTTTTAAATATAAGATAATAGGAGGGTTATCTGGAGCGCGAAGTTAATGGACTCATCATTTTTATAAAAATAAATAAATTTAAGATTTTTTTTTTCAAACAATAAAATAAAAATATACATATGAAAAAAATTACCCATTATAATAAAAAAAATGGTGGTAATAGATTTGAAAAAGCAGATACGAAAGGGAGATAGGATAGATGATTCATGAATAATAAAAGAAATTTTTATTATATTTATTTAAGCGCTTTTGTTAAAGAAAAAGGAATGGTTTTTTTGTTTGTTTACTGAAAGATAAATTTTATAAATAAATTGTTGTGGAGGGAGGGTGGATTAATTATTTGTATGAACGTTACTTTCATAGCTGTCATAAATGTCAATTTGAATATAATTATCTGTAATAATTGTATAATAAATACCAGATAGATATGTACCGACCATTATTCTAATAATATAAAAAATTGGTGTCAATCATCATAGACCAGTCCATTTTAAGGTATTGCCACGATTCTAAATTTTCTGGCTGAGGTTTTTAAAATTTTAATTATAATTTTGATTTTTTTAAAATGGTTTCAAGAGAAAAGCGAATAAAAATATATATATTTACAAATAAATCATTAAAATTTTTAACTGGCTTTAATGGACATAATTTGACTTGTAAGTTTTTTGTTTACTTTTAGGCCTTTCCCGGAGCTCTGATTACTAATATTTTATTTATTTTTGCTTTGTAGACAATAATGACGAGGAAAAGAGTCAAGTAATGAATGATATCAATCGCTACAGCTCAACTTACAGTGATAGATCGAAAACGGATTCAGTTTACTCTTCCAGCATCGAGAAATGGAACTACGACGGAACCAACAACGAAAGACATTCACTGAGTAAATAATCATGAATTAATTATTTATATACCAAACTGAGTATTTGTGTTTTTATGTGTGTATTAACTTGTAGGGAAAGGATTTAGCAAATCTTTAAAAAGATTTAAAATCATATATAGTGCGCATACTTTTTTTTTAATTTTGAAAGAACTGACTACCAGATTGGTATTCTAATCAGCGTGTAGTACCTAACCCTGTGAATATCAGGCAGTTACCCTTAACTTTTATAACCTGCCCTTAATTTATAATTTTTATATTAAACTTTTTAAATAAATGGTGAAAAAGTGCCTAAAATTCACGGGATAGGTACATGTAAAATTCTAACTTTGCCGCATATGATCACAGCTTTATATAAGGATAAAAGTTAACTATGGGAAGAGTTTCCGATAAAATATCTAGATTGCTATTGATACTTTAGATCAGGGTTGTGCATTTGACCGGTCAAATACGTTTCGGTCAATTGACCGATATTTGACCGGTCAAATGTGGTCAAATTCAAATATATTTTTTTAAAGTTAATATTAACTTTATTTTGAATATAATAGTAAAATGAATCTATAATATTAATTTTTTAAATTCATTCAATAACTAACGTGTAGCTATCTGTATCAGAGTCTTGTTCTGATTCATATTCAATATTATTATTTTCTTTAATATTTTTTAAACAATTTTCCTGATATCTTAGATCGTAAATCGATTTCTATTTTCATAAGAATATTAACCCAAATCGACCTATTTCTTTTTAAAGAAAGTAGAACTAGGAATTGTTAGTCTCTTAATGGGCAGGGTAGACAAAGTTTAATCTATTAACTTGAGGTCGGAATTGATTGTTTCTGGAAATTACTACTTTCCACATATTTTGCTATATTAAACATGCTGTTTTTGCTTCTGAAATTAATTATATCACTTAAAATATTTTGGTCATCACTACCTTGTAAAATAGCTAATTCTTGAATTATATCACATACTTCATTAATTACACTACTAGTGAGTTCTCCTCTTGATATTGTGGACCCGAAAAATAAGCAAACATTGTGATCACATGTATTTACATCTTTTTTCCCTTTTTTAAACATATTTTTAATTTATTTTTCCTTTAAATTTTTTAGAGTATTTGACCGTATTTGACAAGTCAAATACTCCTCCGGTCAATTGACCGACTTGCCAACCCTGCTTTAGATATATATATAAAAATAAAACAATTAAATTAATAAACCAAATATAATCATTATAATACCTTAGTATAAAATAAAAAATTAAATGTACAAATAAGTGGGTAAAGTAAAAGTGAAACCTAGCTATAGTGCACTGGTTCGATGACTTATTTTTTTGTGCACCGTAACGTAGATTTAGCAAGATCTGCCTAGCATCTGAATTTTGTAAAGAACATCTCCAGCAAGCAATACATCTTACATGATTTATAGATGATTTGGAAATGTTTTATATATAATTTGAAAATATATTTGTAAATTACTCTTTAATTTATTTGATACAGAAAATACAAATATTTTTGGATATTTTATTATAATATACGTAAACATAATTTGTGTAGGTTCGATGATTTCTTGTAGAAAGAGTACCTCTGAAACTTCGTTGGATAAAGATTCTGCCTTCTGTTCCGATTCTACCGAAAAGTGAGTTGAAAAGAAATAGATACATATAACTTATCAGATAAAATGTATGTTTTATTAATCTGTTGATGTTAAAGATGTAACAGACACCCCCGCTGTTGTGGGAGTTTAAATACAACATTAGGGTTTCAGGTCTCAAATTATGGGCCAGGCAGGCCTTATAAAATTTGCATTAGTCTTCTATATAAGTTTTAATAATTGTAATTTCTATTCACATAATATAAAGCTAACATTCTCCTTATTTTTTTAACATTGATTTTATCAGATCTCACTCTCTGATGAAACAAGATCACGAACTCAACTCGGGAAACATTTCAGAAGTTGATCATAAAATACGCGAGAAAAATTATTTCGACAAAGCTGAAACATGTTACAAGACCGACAAAATAGTACCACAGCCTCCCCCGAGATATTCGAGTTTAAAAAGAGACGGTCAATATTTCCATTCGAATACCAAAAATATCGATTCGTCATCTTATCTGCCTACCACGAACCTTATGAATAGGATCGAAAATAATCTAAATTCCGGCGATATAAGTAATATTTTCGAAGCTTGCAAAATGGACCATTCCTATCACGGACTAATGGGCAATAAACCTGTCAAGCTTAAACCGATAGGTAAATCTACTAGTTGTGAATTCAAACATTTAGCCATCGTAGATCAATGTGCTTTAAAGAAGGAAGATGGTAATTCATATTCCAGGATTTCCAATCGACCCATCACTACTACCAATGATATAATAATTTGCAATAACCATGACGCCATAAGCAATTTTACTCCCAGAGGAGGCCACGACTATAGTAGTAGATTCTTTGATAAAGATATACTGCATCACGATGCTTTAAATAGGTCTCCTCTACAGTTCCTGGCATCTCACCCTCAAACTAGTAACGGTTCCCCTTCTTACAACTATCATAATAAAACAGTCGCCCTCCCTTTAACCAACACTTTAAAAACTTTGTGTTATAATTCTATCGTCACCAAAACAAGTTGCGGGGCGCGCAAAGATAATTTTATTATACCACACAAAATCGATATCGACGACCTTGAGTGTCTTAAAAGATTTAGTAGCGAGGAGCCTGAAGGAAATTCTTCCGAAGAGGAAGTTCTGAAGGATTTGAAAGAAATGCCTTTACTGAGAACGGAATACATACTTAATCAAAAATGTTAGAACTTTTCTAATTCTTGAAAAAATATTTCATTTTTTGGTACGTTATTTATTATGATTAGTTCTATTGTTAAAGAAAAGATAATCATGATTTTTTTTTTAAAAAAACTATTTAGTTTATTAAATATTTAATAATATATATATATTTTAACAAAAATAAAATAAATTCCCATTTATAATGGTTTTATATAATAAATTTACGCGTAATTAAAATTTATAGAATATTTTTATAATTTAACTTATGTAATCAAATAAACAACGGATCATTAGTATCTATTCCTCTCTAGAAATCGTGAAATTTATTTTATAAATAAACCTTTCTACATCCATGTTAGGACCTATTTGAAATTCAAATAAGAATAATAAATTATTCAATTAAAAAGAATGGAATACAAATATAATTCCTTGACGATTAATAAATTTAAATTAAATAGTCATTTTTAATTTTTTAAATAAGTAATTATTCGTTAAATTTGGAATTTAATATTCCTAAATTAAGTATTTTTTAAAAATTAAAGCCATAATTAAATATATTAATTTTTTTTTATCTGGCATTTGCAGTGTTACTTTTCTTCTTCTACATCTTATGAGCCATTCTTATAGGCACAAATATTATTGCCACCCAAGTCTGTTTCTAAAAATTATCCCTTTTTTTCTTCCTGATTTATTTTAAAAATAGTTATTAATGGATCCTACAATTACTAATATGAATTATGCAATAAAATGTTTTCAATTTTTAATCTTTGGTTGGTACAAAAAAACATCCAGAAAAATCGGTAATTTTTATTTGAAAAAATTAATATTTAAGAATTAATGTATCTCATAATAAAAAACACAAACGAATACTAAATTATTTTTAGTTTTCTGAAAATCTAATCCATGTCAAATAAATAAAAGAGTTCCCAAAACAATCTGAAGAGCATTATAATAGTAAAGCCCTTTCCCAAAAAGTAGTAGTTAAACGGCTCTATGTGTGCCGATTTTTAAAAACGGAGAAAATTACACAAGCCCGAAGATCTTACTCATAGGTGGCACAATTGGACATCTAGCGAAATCTCGCTTATGCAATATTTTTCTGGATAAAATATTGAGTTAGCCGTTTTTAAAAATCGAGCTGATAAACTTACCTAGAAGGTTCACTAAAAGAAATAGAATTAGCAATAAAAATTTATCAATAAGCTATTTTATAAGATTTTTACTTTAAAATCTGCGTCAATATTTTTTCCAGGGGAATGAGGGGATAAGTTAAAAAAATAATTAAAAATGGAATATGGCGCTGTACATCTGGACTGAATGTTTATTTAAAAATAATATATTTATGCACCAATAGATAAGAGGTTGTTTTACTGTTAGAAAAATGTTGTCAAAATCATATAAAGATGTTTAGTTTTAATATTATGTATGTTTATTTAATTGATAAATTATCTAAGCGCTAAAAATCTGATATCATATTGTTAATTTTGTAACATATATTCATGATTACTAGTGTAAACGCCTGGAAAAAAATAAAATAGAATACATTTGGAGAATGAAATTAAATTCCATTTAACTATTCCCGTATAATTCCCAACATATGCAAAATTATTATAAAAAGGTTTCATAGTACATTGGAAACTTAGAATAGATATATCTCACTTATGATAATAATACATAGAATATTAACAAAAATGGATTGATATATCAAATTACATACAAGGTAAAAGAAACTTTTTCAAGTACATCTCATGATTTTTTCTTAGTTTTTACCCTATTTCTATTAGTATCTAATTCATTAGAACAAAATGTGGCTTAACTTAAATTTTATAAATACAAAGTTTATATTTTATAAATACAAAGTTTATATTTGATATGATGCAGAATTATTAACGCTTAACATTCCCCGTATTTTATTGCGGAACATCGGACGGTTTTCCTCAGATGTTCTGCCGGATTCCACGATTTATATAATTAATTTAAGAGGGTTATGATATTGATCAGAGAATTATAAAAAAAATTTTTTCAAATACACTGGCATGACCTAATATTTTAAATCACCATTATTATCTAAAAAAATTAAAAATAAATATATTTTTTTTATATCCCGGGTCGTGTAAATGGTACATCTGCAGATCCAGGATATTTATCAAAGAATTATCTAAATATACTTTATTTTTAAAAATGCTAACTATAATTATCTTAAAAATCGTCATTTAATGATGAATACATTTAGAAAATTGTATATAATCAGGAAAAGATAAAAACGATGCCAATTATATATTTAATTTTTTTTAAAATAGTTAATCATTTTTTTCTCACGTAATTTTAGTTAAAATGCAAATGAGAAAGAGATTGTATGATATTTTTGTGTAAAATGTTCAAAATTTTAAAATCGTGGTACAATTATGGGAATCAGTTCAATTACCTTTATTTAATTGGTCGGAGGGTCCCATTTATAATTGGACATCACAATGATTTATGATAAATTTGTTAACAGTTTGTATAGGTTATTTATACATTTCAAATGTATCAAAAACAACTCTGGTATCATACTTATTACGGAAACATAGCCAGGAGTCAGGAATAGAATTCAGGCTTCTCCCTTATTCTTAATTAGCTTGATCTAATCCACATTGATGTATGGGAATAGCCCCCCCCCCCTTATATCAAGACTGTAATTTTTAATATTATTAAACAATTAATTAATAATTAATTATAATTTCAAATTAATAATATGAGCGCACTTACCACCAGAGTTTGAAAACCAGATACATTAGAACTCTCCCGTTATATTCTGACAAAGGTATACAACTATGTATTCAAAAATTATATAGGATTCATAAAAAGATTCAAGCATAGGAACCAGAACCACATTCTAAAAATGATTTCTAGCCCAAATCCCTTTTAGTAATATTGGAAAGTATATTGGCATTTTATTTTTCAAAATATATATAATATATATTTAATAAAAAGATCTTATCCCGAAAATATCATTTTTACCATAAAGGTAAATAAAATTGTTCCCTAAACACCTGTTTAATTACTGAACTGTAAGATGGAATTAATTTATATGAAAAGGCAAGATTTTTAATTTTTATATTTATAAAAAAATATAACATTTTTTAAATTATATATAATTTTTTTTAAATTAAATTGAAACATAGATCAGAGGAAGACAGGGAGCACTCTGGTAAAATCAAATTGATTTTAAATGACAACATAAATTGTTAAAGTTAAAACAAGTTTATCCGTTGATCTCCCTCAACCACCTTGGATCCAGAATATTATGACTAATTCAATTGTGTCTACAATCTCAGGAATATCCCGTTCTGCTGACATTTTAACAGCTGCATAATGACTTAATCTTATTATGCTTAATAATAACATCAATAATTCAGAGAAATGGAAATAACTATCCTCTTCATTATAGGCGCAGCCAGTAAGGGGGGGGGGGGCAAGGGGAAATCCCCCCTTCAGAAATTTATCACTTTTGTGAATATCATTTTAAGCTAATAAAAAATATCCCCCTTAGTCTTCCCCCCACTCCCTGACCCCCAAAAATGTATGCTATATCTTAAACAATAATTTGAAAGAAAGAATGTAAAAGTTAATATATTTTTTTAAAACTATTCATCATAATTTATACATTTTTGGAAAAAAGCATTTGTATATAAAAAAAAGTGAACCAAATGCTTTTTAAGAAATGGAATATAAGCCAAAAATAAGTCTTAAGACAAAAGTGAAATGTATTATTATTATTAATAATAGATCTATAAAATTACTAAATAATATAATATATCAAATATAATTTTTTATAAAGTGAGTAATTTTAATTTATTTATCTTAATAAAAGTAAAATATAATTATAAAACTATTGATAAAATTAAATCATAAATTAAATAAAAAAATTAAACAATACAAACAATGAAATATTATATGTCGTAGATTTACAGTATATCTAATTTTATCAAATATCATATGACAATCAAGTAATTTTTATCAATATAGCGAATTGTATATTTTACAGAAAACTATAAAATATTGATAAGGACATCAGAAAATATCTTTTAAAGACATTGTGGGATGAATAATATGAAGATTAATTTTTAATATTTTATTTTAAAAAATAGATGACGTTAAATAATTGAATGCAAATTTTTGCTATATTTATTATCAAGAACATTGATTAGTAAAATTTGTTAAAATATTAACTGTAATATATTCTCTAACTGTCAAATATGTCTGTAAAAGTGGAATTTTATCTAGTATTTTGTAACTATTTCTATATAATAGAGGAATATCAACTATGTCTACTTACTTTTTATAAATAAATTTCTTATACTTGTTTGGAATAAATTATTACCATGCTTTTATATTTATGTATATACAAGTAATTTATTAAATTTTATATGAACTAATAAAAATATATTTCATATTTGTTGCAGGCTTATTTTTTTTATTAAAATTAATCTCCTATCTTATAAAAACATTTTATGACTATATATAGACTAAGACCCGGCCGAAGGCCAGATAAAAGAGGGCCGAAGGCCCGCCCTAAATGGGGTCTGGAGGGGAAGCCCCCAAACCCCCCCTTTACGCCTATGCTCTTAACCAACACTCACCTAAATAAGACAAAGATAACCTTTCACACCAAATTAAAAATCTTTTGATCCTAATGCCTTACCTTGATCTTCATTCATCCAAAAATTAAGTCAATAATTTCCAACCTTTAATATCCCAAAAGCAAATTTAATAGAAAAAAAATTTAATTTAGGCAAAATAAATCTGCACTAAACATTGCAGTTTCAAATGATGTTTGATCCAATCTACCATTCAAGTATAATCCTTTTTATTTATCATCAAGAATATATTTCATTTCCCTCACAGTTGCAACCAGCATTTACATGATTTAGCTGGAGGGGGGGGGGTGTGCTTCTAAGCTTCTAATCTTTGAGAGGTAAGGAGTAGGCATTTAGGGGGGGGGGATCTATTATATTTTTAGATGAAATAGGGCAAAATGTATTGATCTAAAAATTAATACTCTTATTATAGACAATACAATGATATTCCAATATATCGATTTGATCGATACATTACGCATGATCTATATCTGAATAATTTTCTGTCATCCTTATAAATGTAAATTAAAAGAGTTAGATATTATATCAGTAAGTTCATATTTATGCCAAACAATATATATAATAATTAGGCATTATGAGGGAGTTTTTAATTGAATTTATCTAAAAAAATAACTCTTTTACAGCACA